ATCCATTTTCTTCACCAAGTTTCATTTTTGTATTCTTCACTCTCTCTCCACTCTGATTTCTCTCTCTCGTTCTTTCAAACAACCTCCAACGAACACCCAACCACCACTGGCCGAAAATTGCCTCCATCGGTGGTCCTCTTTCCACCTCCCCCAAAACCACCATAATATCCAGGTTTTCGGTTGAACTTCAACCGAAACCTTCAAACATTCATCCAAAACCCATAATCATCATGAACCCTAGGCTAAATCCTAAGAACATAAACCCTAGCTATGAACCTTAGGTTTCCCGACCGAGAGCGGCCGTTAGGGCCGCCGTGAATGATGAAGGTCTACCGAGAACCTCATCAAATTTCCAGAAAAACCCAGGAACCCTAACAATATCAACCCTAACCCCTAAGAACCCTAATGCGTTTATACCCTAACCCCAAGAACCCTAAACCTAGTTTAGAACCCTAACAACCCTAAAACCTTAAAATTTTCCAGAAATCAACAACAACATCAATCAACTAGATATTCAACAACAATCACCAAACTCTAAGCTAATTTCAAGGCTTGTCTTTCATGTAGTGACTCTGGTCGTAAAAATTCCCTTATGATTTCTTTCCAATCCCTTCTAATCATTTCTTCTAGTTCTTTCGCATGTACAAAGGATGGTATGAGATCCGCAACAAGGAACGAGGAATGCTTATGACTTTCGCTCCTTAACTCTTCTTCTTCTCCTTTCTCAGATTTTCGGTCCCCTACTAGGTTTTGAATTAGGGTATTTATAGACTTAGGTCTTAGTCAATTAGGAATTATTTTAGTGTTGATTTACAGTTATAGGTTAGATTGATTTGTAATTGATACGAATTAGGATCTGATTTAGAAATTAGAAAGAATGTGTTAGAAATTAGATTAGGGTTTGTAATTGATTACGTACTTGGATAATTTCTATATTTGTATTCATATCAATTAATAAAAAAAGATCTGAAAAAAGACGCCATTGTAGATTTCACATTCTTACCACAATCTAGGGGGTAAGTAATGCGGGTGCCAACTCCATTTATGCTAAGGGACTAATCCAATAGATTTGAAAAAGATCTGAGGACCAACTTACTAAAGCTTCGGGACTAACATAGTAAGTTGTAGCGCAGATTCGCAATATTTATCATAACCTAGGGGATAAATCACGCGGGTATCAATTTTATTTATGCCAAGGGACTAAACCAATAAGATCGAAAATTCAGAAGATAATCTATCATTTCTCAAAGACCCATATAAATAGTTATATCTGATTTGCATATCTACCACTACCTAGGGGGTAGATAATACAGGTATCAACTCTATTTATGCCAAGGGACTAATCTAATAGAGTTAGAATAAACTCTAATAGTGAACTAGCTAAGGCTTCGAGACTAACATAGCGAGTTGTATTTCAGACTTGCATATTTATCACAACTTAGGGGATAAATAATGCAGGTTCGACGTTTGAGTTTGAAAGTTTGAAAAATTGAATAATCAAGTCACGAATATGATTTGTAGATATGCCGCCTAGTGTAATTCTTGGTTCGCAACACCTCTACATGTTGTGTCTATTCTCAACCGAGGTATTTGTAATAGTGTGAAAAATTCTAAGATATTGAATTTTCGATTCGCGCGGGTAACTTAGCTGATGATAAACCTTAAGATATTCCGCAGTATTCCTGGCCTATGAAGTTTGCAATGCCATGTATAATTGATATGTATATGTATGATGCCTAATGAATTTTTTTTGATATGATGCCCAATGATAATGCTATTGATATGTATTTCATATGCAAATGCACCAAATGTTTGTGAATGCTTTGATAATTTTCTCCTTTTAGATCATCGGGTTCTTTGAGTCACTTACTTCCCGATGTTGTCTGTTGTTTTGTTGCGGTATCTCCAAGTTGATTTGTATCTTGATATGTTGCGGTAAGCAGTGTCAATATGATGTTTGATGATCGTGTCGTAGGCGCGGGCATAAACGTAGGCGTAGGCGTGGATTTCTTTTGATATTTTTCTAACCAAAACGCTTTTTAATATTTTGTCAAATGCTTTTATTTATTGTCAAATCCCCAAAATAATTTTGACATAGTGTTTACAAAAAATAATCATAGTATTTTGTAAACAAGTCGGAAAAAGAAAAGCACAATTTGAAAAAGATCTGAAATAAATTATTTTATTAATGAAAAATGCCTCTATATAGGCCAAAGTAAAAGATGCAATTCCTAGGAAGAGGTAATTACACAAAATTTTAAACGGAAAACATAAAATGGCAATGAAAATTATAATCGATACTGCTATTTCTCCAATGTCCTTTGATAACTCCAATCTCTTTGCCTTTGAGGAAAATAACTGGACTAATTCCCCTCCTTCGTAGTCATAGTAATGAATTCTCGAACTGCAGTCTATTTGTTCATTTTTTGAATAAGATCCCTAACTTTTTCCTAGACTGCTCTTTCGGATTTTCAATCCACTGGGATCATGATTTTGTTTATATGTCCATAATTTTTTCCCGGATCGCCCTTTAGGGTTTTCGATCCATCGAGTCGCCCCTTTTTGCCAAAGTCGCCCGTTCGGGTTTTCGACTTGGCAAATTTTTTATACATAGTATTTTTTTACTGCGTCGGAATTAAGCAGATGTGGTAGTTCTTCTCCATCCATTGTTGTGAAGATAAGAGCTTCTCCTGAGAATGTTGTTTTAACCGCATATGGACGTTCCGAGAATCTAGACAAGGTAGCAAAATCTTCTTGAGAATCAGGTCTCCTTCTTGGAACACTCGAGGTCGAACCTTTTTATCGAATGCTTTCTTCATCCGCTTTTGATATAGTTAATTGTGGCACAAAACTGTTTAGCGTTTTTCTTCAATGAGGTTGAGTTGGTCATGCCTGTCTGGGTCATTCTGATTCTTCAAGCTTAGTTTCCATGAGAACTCATAGTGATGGAATCTCTACTTCAACAGGAAGTACAAACTTCATGCCATAAACAAGAGAGAATGGAGTACAACCTCCATGTCATAAACAAGAGAGAAATGAGTCATCTTATAGCAAATGCATATGACAGGGTGTATATTAAATAACCTTCATTTTAAGTATAAAAAAATAATAAGGGTTATTTCGGATATATCTATCCGGAAATCCTTATTTTCGTAAAAATGGGTGAATTCGAAGCTTTATATCCAAAACATGTCCTGGTGCAAGATAAGAATTCTTGGGTCCAAATTGCTCCAAATCTTCTATAAATAGGATCTCCAAACTATTTCTTCAACAACATACACCACAAACAAAGATGAGCCAAACATATCCTCACCTTGCTTTTGTCTACTTCAGTGGTTAGATGTCGCCACTTCAATTTAGGTTCTTCGAAGACGCGCCTCTCGTCGAGATGATTACCATATTGAATTCTCTCCTGCAATATCCAGAAAATCGAGAGGTGGTTAAGCTCGAGTATCATCCACCCTCATTTTACACTGAAGAAAAGATAAAGTTCACCCAATTATCACTGAAGACGGATGACGATTTAAAGGTTATGTGGAACACTTTTCACCGTTAATCTACTAAGGGTTCAATTGAAGTGGATGTGAAACTTCAACGATCGGGAGAAGATGTTATCAAAATATTACAACATCCTCTACTACCCGTTTATAAAAATATGTAATGCTAAATTGATGTTCCACTATCTATGTAATTTTGACTATTTATGTTAAATCTATGTTAAGTTGCTTTGGTTACCACAGTTTATTTTTACTAGTTTAATTTTTTTTCATGTTTCTATGATACTGATTATGCTAAATTACTGGTTCTGCATAATTTAAATATGCTTATCCGAAATAACATTCATTTTTAAAATAAAATAAAAACAAAGATTATTTCATATGTGTCCGAAAGATACCATTTAATGGCTTCAGATATGCATCTCCGAACCTATTCGATAAAAAACTGAAATGTGGTAAGTTCGGATATGCATATCTAAATTAAGGAGGTTTTACGGAAATTTCGCCAAGGACCCCTAAGAACCCGTAAGGGTGTATTAAAAAACTCCCAAATTAAAACCCTCTGGAAAAAAATCATAGCAGTTGCATCTACTATTAAAGACAAATGAAAGTGTATAAATATATTTCCATTTCACAACCCCGTATACTTCCATTTCACAACCCCATCTACTGGAGAAGCTTTAGTGGCACTTCGGAATAATTTAAGCCATAGCTTGATCAAAAAGAGTATGAACATACTCTATGTAAACTTTGTATAATAAAATCAAACTTGAAAAGCTTATGAAAACAAACTGAAACACAACTCATGAATACATAACTATTTTTACATTTAAACAAATAATCATTGTATAACATATGCATAAATAATTCTTCCAAACTTACTAAGCATCAATGCGGTTTAGAAAAACATATTTATTGTTGAGAGTAATGAGAAAACATGGTTTTGCACTATTGGTTTGATACACAAATTATTCAGTAAAATAACATTCTCTGCCTAAATAAGGCATGTAAAAGGGGTATAACAAATGTTAAATAAGGCATGTAAAAGGGGTATAACAGATGTTGGAAGCAAGCAGCATTTATATTAGCATCGGTCAAAACTCAGCAAAAAAAATAGCACTAGACTCCTTATTGCATGACAATACCTACTGGCTGTTATCAATGGGCAAATAATGCCTTGTACTTTTCCAGGAACCTTGATTCAGAAAGAAAGACCAAGAACCATTGCAATACCAACAGATAGAGGTTCCGCATGCCACCATTCTGCAATGGACATTGTGTTAAGAACTACCTTCATACTATGTCACTGAGATCTAACCAGCTGGGAACAACAATATCATGCCATACTGCAATTTATGCAACTCACAGCTTATTAAATACTATTATGTTTTGTATACACTCATTTGTGTCTCCATCATGTACTGCTGTTGTACATTGAAATCTCTGTTGAGTGTGAAATGTTAAAATTAAATGCAGACCATGACTAGAAGAATACAAGATCAACTACTCCACTTGTCCACTTAATTCAGTTTCCTCATCCTCGGCATCCATTTCTTGTTCCACACCTTTGACCTGTAAATGCAGCAAGTGGCATTGGAAGAATGTTTCTTAATATAAATATAATTGAACAATTCTTATAAATTGGAACTCAGGCCGATTAATGCAGCTTTAAATAAACACTCAATAATCAATACAGTTTTCTCTTTACTAGAAAGTACTCAATAATCAAGCTAAAAAATAGTATTAGGATGTACAATGACAAATAGGCATGTTTAACCTATATTTGACAACTTACATACAACCAACCAATCATGTAAGACAACTGGAAAATTTAATTCAATGCAGTATAACTAGCAAATCCTATAAGTCAATTGGTCTATAACTTAAGTACTGTCATAGGAAAGGCAAAACTGCTTCATTGCGAAAGATAAGTTGAGAATTCCAATCAATTCCATTACCATAAATAAAAATGGAAACAGAAAATGGATCGGTTTCATCAGAAAATGATATCGCCAAACTTTTTACCTCGGATACATAATGCATCAGCATATTCTCAATGCCTGATTTCAGAGTCACCGAAGAACTTGGGCAGCCACTACACGCTCCTTGCATTTTAAGTTTGACTATCCCGGTATCCCTGGAGAAAACCACAATGTAAAAACCAAGAAAAACATCATTCTATAATTTATAACAAATAGATGTGTTGTTATCTGAGATATGCATTATTATTATTTTTATTTATTCTTTAACACAGAACCCAGAAGAAAGCGAAAAAGTTCAGTGCAAGTGTCATAAAACCAAAATAACAAAAAAGAGAAAAAACTTACGGGTCAAAACCACAATATACAATGTCCCCACCATCATCTTGTACAGCTGGTCGAATACGAGTCTCTAAAAGTTCCTTGATCATCGCAACTGTTTCAGAATCATCCTGTATGGAAACAGGTAAGGTTAGCATGTCCTTTAGTTTTGACATCTCAAAGGTCCCATAAACTAGACAGATCTCATAATCCTTGCACTAAAAAAAATTTTAGATTAGACAAACCAATTGGAAAGTATTTAGACTAGAGAGATACAAGAGAATGCCATCCGTTTTTTAATCGTGTCAGGGGTGGAGGGACGTAGTAAGTACTAAGTAGGAGAGGTTCCAGCCCCTCCTGACTTTAGAAAAAAGGTTTTACACATAATATGATATAAAATGATCTCTTTCACCCATTTGAGGCTCCAACCCCCCATTCGTCAATCATCCAACCCACCATTCAAGCATTGTGTGTTCTTTCCTTTCAATTATACATCCTCTCAATCTCTTGTTTTATCTTCATTCTGTCTTTTATTTGTTAGGAGTAATTAATAAGGAACTAATACAATTAAGAGAGAATTGATATGTTGTGATTTTGAAAAGATAATTGCTAAAGAGTTTATGATAGATTTGTATTTTTTTCTTTATAGGTAAATTTTAGGATATTAGTGAATTAGTAGGTTATGTCAGTTACGACAATTTGAACTCTGGAGTTCCTAGTTAGTACTCCTTCAATGTTCCTCAGCTCGGTCAGTGAGCTGCAAGCTTGAGAGAATTGATTTGTGATGTAATTAATGTTTGGACCATTATGAATACTAACTAGTAACTAATAAGTTGATAAATATCATTTGTTGGTTGGATTTTAATTTATAAAAGCTAGCTAGCTCCCCTAATTTAAGGTCAGGTCTTCTGTTAGGAACCCAAGAATTGGATTCCAAAGAACACTTTATAAGAAATAGGAGAGAAATTTCTCCTCCAAGGGTTTCCCCTACACAATAGAAGCGTCACTCTATTCACAAAAGGCTTCAATACTCAATACAATAACTACCTCAACTATTTATACAAATAGTCCTATAACAACCTCAACTAACTAACCAACTAACTTCAACAACAACTCTTAACTACTTTAACTATCCTACTTAAGCGTTATTCTACATCCTGACATCTTCTATCAACTCAAGTATCAACGCATCCACACAAAGTTCTTATTTGAATGTGAAAAATACAAGGACTCCAACCAACAGAAACATAAAATAAAATAGAATACAAATTACAGTAGCAGAGATGCTCATGAACCGAAGCTCTTATTTCTCAATATAATAAAGCAAGAATATTACTATGCTCAATAAGCATACCAAAAAGAAGAACAAATTTCAAAATAACAATTTAACAAAGTTTAAATTAAAACACACCACCAGGGTATAGCAATAAGGAGAAGAACTTACATCGTGAATCGCGGTGTCTTTGGATGCAGCAGCTTGAGAATCTAGAAAAAGAGGTTCACCGGAAGAGTAGAAATCCATAATAGCAGCAAAGATTTCCGGCTTAAGAAATTCCCAGGAAGCATCTTCTGATTTTGTAACGGTAACAAAATCGGATCCAAAGAAAACACGAGTAATTCCTGCAATAATCATATAAAAAAACAATCAGAAAACACATATAAAATTGAAAGGAATGAAGATAGATACATATCGAGCGAGGGTAGTACCGTCAATAGCGAAAAGTGATTTGGCGAGAGGAGAATTCAAGGCGGAACGAGCGTTAGGGAAATCGGCGCTTCCTATATCCATAACAGGTTTACCGGGATGAAACATGAGAGATTCCGGATTTGGAGTGGATTGCGTTTGTATAAACATACTCCTCTTTTGTCCTGTTTCAATGTGAACAATTCAATATTCGAAGAACAGGAAAATTGGAGATGATGAAGAAGAAGAGAAACAAACCGGTTGAAAATGGAGATGGAGACGGAGAGGCGGAGGAACTGGAAGAGAAGGCATTGCTGTGGTGGTTGCGGTGTTGAAACGACGGCGTTGCGGCGAGGTAGCGTGGACGAATTGTAATTAGGTTATTATTGGAGAGTACTGATCGTAACCGTCTTCCCAGTCGGAAAACACTACCCCTCGCCATCTTCCTTCACGATTGGGGTTTTCTGTTCTTTCCTTCTGTTATTGTGTTCTGCTTCAAACCTCACGCTTCCTTCATCCAACTTTTGACAGTTTCCTTCATCCAACTTAAACGAAGTCGTTTTAGTTCCAATAAAAAAATTACTAAATACATCTGCATTCAAGTAAGCTTTACTGTTTGGTTTCCAATTAGGAGTTGTCAATATCGGTGTAATCGGATCGATTTAGACTGATTTTTGGTCAAAAAATACTCTAAAGTGATGATATTTTAATCGGTTTGGTTTGATTTAGTTCCGTTTTCATTTTTCAAAAATAGAATTGAATCAAAATAATCGATTTGGTTTGATTGATCAGTTTATAATTTTTTTCAAATACTATATTCATTAGTGTATTAGTATCCACTATTGTATTTTTCGGTGTATGTTATGTTATATATTATTAATATATAAAAGGTAAAGTACTTGAAAAAATCACTAATACCCTTTTGAATTCAGGATTAAACTTTTTTGATTCCATAGTTAAAAATGACTATTTGAAGTTTGTTGCAACCACATTGATTTAACATTTAATAAGGTTGATGTGTCACTCCCTCGTTTTTTATTATTCATTTTTATTTTATTTTAATCTCTAATTAAATATTTAATTTCTTCAAAACGTAGGAAACCCAATTTAAACTCAAAATTAATTACTTGACGACCAAGAGTCTCACAACTTCTCATGTTTGTGATCAAATATATTATAACTTTATGCATATCACACATCATCTTTTCAACCCATTGCTTAACTCTCTCTCCGTCCAATCTTCCTCCTTCCATCTTCGATTGCCCTTTTTCTTCTTCGATTGTCATTTTTCTCAGCTTTACTTGCTTTGGTTATATGATGCTTAATTGTTTGAAATTGTTGAATCTATAGCTAACATCGTGTTTTTCGTGTGATTGTTTTAGCTTTGTTGAATTTTTTCAGAAGCTTTTCCCCACAAACAGATGAAAACAGAATTCAAATCGCTGGGAACAAATCGAAGTCGCTGGAAACGCCCTCCACAATGCAACTCTGGTCACATCCACATTAATGCCTCCGTCTCGAGTGCTACCGCATCAGAAATTGAAACTCGCCACCACATCATCGAAATACTTGTGAAGCTTTAGATCTAACAACCCAGTACGTTTTGTTTTTCGAGAAATACTTTTGATGATTTTCCGATACTAATTTGTGCGACAGATTTGAGTTCTTATTATTTGCCTATGTTTTTCTGCTATTGCAGTTATTAAGCTACTTTACGGTTTTATACTTGGCCTAGAATAAGTTTTGTTTTCAATATTTGATGAAGAACATCAAAGTAATTGAGACTACCACCTATTTATCCTTTGTCTAATCTAAAGATGAAGTTTTAGAGGCTTCGTGAGCATATTATATAGTTTGAATGGATTTTTTATACAAATCATGCCCTTGTATCTCTTGCATTTAAGTGCTTGGACATACATACAAGAGTAATAAATATGATTCGTTTAATGTTTGAGGAATATATGGTTCTTACTCTTTATGTTTTTTTCCTAAAGATGTATCTTAACTTGATTGCATGTTTAGGTTATTGCTCCATATATTTGGATTTTATGGAGAAATCAAAAAAATATGAATTGTTAAACTTCCTGATGAAGATTTTATGTTTTCAAATTCATCAATTAGTTGTGAAACATTATGATAAAAGAATAATTGGTGTTGTTTTTGTACATCTATATGTTTTTGTTTCTAAGAATAAACTAAGTTGTGTTTATTATGAATCTCTGAAGGTATTAGTTTCACCTAAATTTTCAATATTTCTCTAACTATTTTTTTACATTTGATTGGTTTAATGTAAAGAAACACTTACGTTTATAGATTTTTCATTTTGGAAATTGGAACTAGTATAGATTTTGCTCGATGGGCTCCATCAATACGAAGAATGTCTGATCAAAAGGGAGCCGTAAGTGGTTTACCGTTGCATATCCTTTTGTCTGCATGCTTTAAATTTGGTATATTATTATTTCAATTTGTTATGAATAAATGTGATTAATTTTATAATTGAGGATTTAGGATGGAATAGTTATGTGTGTTATTTTGATTCATCTATTTGGTATTTGGTATTTTAGGGGACAAAACGGTATCGACTTATGTTAAGTTGGAGAATTGTCATTTGAAAATAACAAATATGAATTAGGTATCTGACATGTGGTTTTTGCTGGTATATTTCTTTGAAGCGTGTAATGACATTGTGTTCTCTTGCAGGAAACCAAGTTTGAAAGATGTAGAGTCATTTGAACTCATTGGGAAACTAAACTCCACTATTGTGTTTAAACTCCCTTTTATGTTTGTTTTGAACCCATACGAGAGAGTTGGAGTAAAATGCCTCTGATTTTTGTGTCTAACAATACTGATTTACAGTCCTGCTCTAGAAATCGACGGAGGAGAGAAAGACATGTGACATTGTGGATATTGATAAAAGTATGGATCTGTTGACTAATGGCTGGAACATGCATTGATAAGGCAAATTAAATGCTCACTTATGCACACTAGACACACCATGAAAAGGTTATCCAGTAAGTGTGTTCCAGTTGGTAACTTTCTAAATCACCACTTTTTTTCTCTAAATATTTATAATTTTTAAATATTTTATAGGGTTAGCGTTGGGAATTGTTCTTACAGTTTATGGAAGAGAAGAAGAAGCTAACCACGAAAGGTATATATCTCTATCAGTTGTGTGATTAAGTTTCGATTTTCATTCATTCAATTTGGATCATACAAAAAGGGTTGCATTAATTGTTTTTGGATTTGTGTTGATAATTTTAAACTTAGATATAACTTTATTAGTAACAATTGTAATGGAAACATTGAAGGATCAAGGCAATTGCAAAATTAATAATAACGTCATGAGATCAATATCACAAAATGTTAAGAATCAAATTAGGTTATGATTTTGCAATATCTACTAAAAAATCAAAATCTATTGTTAGTGTATATTTATTCTCATGTCCATTGGATCTGGGTATTAGACAATTAAATTTTTAAAAACAATAACATACTTCTTCAAGTTGCACTGCTTTTCTTTGAAGGAGCAATATTGGTCAATATGCTTGTTAATTCAATTTTGAACAAACTTAGCAAAATTTCATTTTTGAACAGAATGCCATGAATCCATAAATGCCATGAATCCCAATTTTGAACAAACTGGATAGAATGCCATGAATCCATTTTTGAACAAACTCGGAAAAATTTCTCTCCTCAGTTTCCTAGAACTTAGTTATTCAATTTCCTTGATATTGTGTACATTGTGGAAGCCTTCAGCTCAAGTTATTTAGGTCCTCATTTTTTGCAGGTAATTGATGTGATTCATGCATTTGTCACTATTATTAGTTTATGTGGTGTTGAATTTGTGCTTTTCCCCTCACCATTTTACTCATATTAGTTATTCATATCTGATATGATTTATTTGTACATTTTAATGTTGATTCTTTTCATTGGGAGACAGAGAAGTATTGATGGAAGAGTTACTAAGTTTAAGAAGCCAATTTCAATTTTATATTGATTCGTCATCCACCGCAAGGAAGCAGTATCCATTACTGCAATTGACATGTTCGTCTGAACACAGTTTTGCTGCAACAACTCTCATTGCCATTCCAGAGTCAATAGTGGATAGGGATGAGACAGGTGAAATTCTAGCATCAATCAGAGATAGTTTTGAAGTAAAACTTGAACAAGAAATAATTAAATAGACTGAGGCAGAAAGCAGGTGGGTTTCTCTTTCTGAAGAACTTGGAGCCGATCTTGAAGCTAACATGTCGTTAGCTGAAAAGACGAAAACAAATTAGATGCCGAGAGAGAATGTAATAAAGAACTTCATGAAGTCATGCATATGGCTATAGAAGGACATGCACGACTTTTAGAACAGTATGCATAAAGTGGTATAATGCCCTTATCTATGATTAAAATATTTTTCATCCAATTCTGAAAAGAAAGTGGTATAATGCCCCTATCTATGATTAAAATTCCATAAACACTCTTTTTAATAATATTCTAACATCAATGACTTTACAATTTTTTATTTACAATAATGAGTGTTAGTTGTATTGCATCTCTTTAATAACTATAAAATTAATATATTAAGGTAATAGACATAAAATATCATCCTATTTTAGATCTTGGAAATTACAAGTTGCTCTTAATTCATACGAAACAGTGACATGATTTCTATTGCATCATGAAATAAGTTTACTATCAGATATAAAAGTTAACAATTGACATCAGAATCTTGGAAAGAGATTTAGAAGTTTAACAAATAGAACATAACAAAACACACATCAATTAGCATGTTTTACACCTCAAACACACATTAAAACTATTTTGTAACAAGAGTAAAAGTATTTTTGTTGAAGAAGAAGAAACAAAAAAGGTAAAAAAAATGAAAATTAACAAAGAGATCCGTTGTAGGATAGTCAATATGTAAATAATTATAGTTCACATCAGGGACAATCAACTGCCTCAAAGTTATTTGTTCAGCCATGTTATCAACAAACACAAAAATATCAATTATGTCTCAAACAGACATAAATAAATAGAAAGAAGAAAAACGATTAAAATAAATTAAAAAAATACAAAAACATCAAATTTAATCTAATGAACTGAAATAAGAAATTTGAGAATTTTTTTGAATTTTTTCGCCACTTTGAAAACAATTAAAAATTAATTAAAAATAGAAAGAAAAAAAAAAGGAATTTGCGAACACAAATAAGACGACCATAACATATCAGAATGATTGTAGTGAGAGCAGCAATTCAGTGAAAGTAAGTTTTTTGTGATTTATGGTTTCTACTTTTTATGTTTTGGAGTTTGGTTCTAGATTTTTTTTATGCCGAAAGGAATGAAGTATAAACAAAGATGGAAATGGTTGGACCGATAAATTTGTTGAACTTAATGATGTGAAATAGAAGATTTAGAGCATAATTATTTTTCATTGGTTCGGTTCATCGATTTGACGGTTTCTAAAAACTAAAACCAAGAACTGAACCAAACTACATCAACTTTTATTGGTTCAGTTCGTTTTTAGAACCGAATCATAAATAATCAGTTTTAATCTGGTTTGGTTTGGTCAGGATTGTCGATTTAATTAGATTTTTTATCCGCCCCCTAGTTACCAACTCAAGTAAAAAAATTGTTCTCTAATACAATTTATTTTATTTTATTTTAAAGTTTAATGGACATGTATTGTCGATGTAAAAAAATTTTACACGGTGGTCCAATTGAAAATCACAAATCTGTCAAATCTTCAAAATTATTTTAAATTATCAGTATGATGTGGCAGGATGCACGTTGTTCATTGGATGACGGTGTAAAATTTCTTTACACTGTTGATGTATCATTTATTTACGCCGCTCATGTTTCCTCCCAAGTTTCTCAATTATTTGATTTTAGCCCTCCAAATTTCAATTGCTTGATTTTGGTCCCTTAAGTTATTCAATTGCACAATTTTGGTCCCCTAAGTTTCAAATGCTTCATTTTGACCCCTAAAGTTTGTCAATTGCTTGATTTTAATCCCTCAAATTTACCCAATTTTGCATGAGTCCCTTAGTGACATGTAGAATAAACTTTTTTTGTTACTTTTTATTTTCTTTTTATTTTTACAAAAAAAAAAATAGATCGCTAGCTAATTAAAATAAGAGAATATTTTATCAATAACACGTGTGAAGCTTTTAACAAAATCATATTAGAATATAGGGACAAACCTATAATATCCCTGGTAGAAAGCTTGAAATTCAATATGACCAATAGGATTGTTAGACATTGGGACTTTAAGTTTAAATATGATGGAGTTATTAGGTAAAGAGTTTGTTATTTTAATCAGCTATTGGTCTATATTTTTTATTGTAAAAATAATTTGCTATTAGACATGTATTGAATGAAATATTTAAGTTTTTCAAGATATTATACTCAAAACTTAACTAATTAAAAATAGAATTGTAGTGAAGAAAATTAGGAAAAAATAAGATATGTTATGATTTGTCATTTATGGATGTTGATATGATCTTTTCATCTAGCAACACCTTAGGGTAACATACAGTTGAAGTTAAGTGTGAGGTTCAAACGAGGAAAGACTTATGGTGGATACTTAGGCGCTTAAAGATGAGGAAGGGCGTAGTAAGCGACGAAATGCTTCAGAGAGTTGAAAATAAGCATAGATCAGAGGATTCCCGAATAGTTCAACCTTTTGAACCATTGTTAAATTCACGAGCAGGCAAGAGACAACATGGAAAAATGAATCATCTTAGTAGCCAGAGGAAAAGAAAGCAAAAGTGATTCCCGTAATAGTGGTGAGCGAAATGGGAGCAGCCTAAGTGACTTTTGCTTCATCATCGAGAGGGAAACAACCCAGACCATCAACTAAGGCTCATAAATGATCGCTCAATGATAAAGGAGATATGAGTGCAGAGACAGCCATGAGATTTGCCTAAAAGTAGTCACCCTTCAAAGAGTGCTAATAGCTCACTGATTGAGTGCTCATGCGTCAAAGATGAACTGGGCTAAGTGATATGCCAAAGCTGTGGGATGTAAAAATGAATTGGTAGGGGAGCGTTCCACCTTAGAAAGAAGTACTTGTGCGAGCAGGGTTGGACGAAGTGGAAGCGAGAATGTTGGCTTGAGTAGCGAAAACATTGGTGAGAATCCAATGCCCCGAGAACCTAAGGATTCGTCCACAAAGTTCGTCCATATAGGGTAAGTCAGCGCATAAGATCGGGCCTAAAGACGTAGCCGATGGACCAGTTAATATTTTTGTACGACCCCTTATTGGTCCCGACGGACGGAGGATGCTAATTAGCGAAAGATGGTTATTTCAGTATGAGGCGCTCCGACGCTTAAGTAGTCGATGTCATACTCTCAGGAAAAACTCGAACGGCCTACAACATAAGGGTAAGTAGAAAATACCTGGGGCGCAAGACATCTTATTATGTTTTTTTAATTGCTTTATTCTGTGCACAAATATATATATATATATATATATATATATATATATATATATATATATATATATATATATATATATATATATATATATATATATATATATATATATATATATATATATATGTATATATATATGTATATAGATACAAAAGTAAACAAATAAGATCATTTTATATAGAAAATAATAATACTTATGCGATGTCAGTGTATTATATAAAATATTTTACACTATCAATGAATCACAATCATTCACAAATAATATTTTATATGTGATTAAAGAAAAAATCAAATGTATAAAAAAAAATTAACAATTATTTACTGAGAGTGGAAAACTTCTTTACATGATCATTAATGAATTTCAATTAAATTCAGAGAAGAATTATGAGGCAAAAAAATACCTCTTGGTTTCAAAATGAGTACAACTTCAAAGTCACGATTCTATTTCAAGAATTTATTTGGAGAATCTAAAAGATAAAAATAATGGAGTATGATATTGTATCAAAGAATTATATAAAAGAACAATAAAATTATCCTCTGATGTCGATGTCGAAGGAATTGGACGAACAAAGATAAAAAATAAAATAGATCATCATTTTGGACACTGTGGTTTCACACATGTGAGAATCTAGAAAGAGAGGTTCACCGGAAGAGTAGAAATTCATAATCGCAGCAAAGATTTCAGGCTTAAGAAATTCCCAGGAAGCATCTTCCGATTTGATAACGGTAACAAAATCGGATCCAAAGAAAACACGAGTAATTTCTGCAATAATTTTAAGAGAAAAAAAACGCAACGAGAAAACACATATAAAATTGAAAGGAATGAAGATAGATAGAATAAGAGATTGAGGATAGTACCTTGAATAGCAAAGAGTGATTTAGCGAGAGGAGAATTCATTGCGGAACGCGCGTTAGGGAAATCGGCGCTTCCGATATCCATAACAGGCTTACTGGGATGAAACATGAGAGATTCTGGATTTGAAGTGGATTGCGTTTGTATAAACATACTCCTCTTTTGTCCTCCTATTTCAATGTGAACAATTCAATATTCGAAGAAGAAGAAAATTGGAGATGATAAAGAAGGAGAGAAACAAACCGGTGGTGGAAGAGGAAGAGAATGCATTGTTGTGGCGGTTGTGATGTTGAAATGACAGCGGCGTTGCGGGGAGGTAGCGTGGAAGAGTTGTAATTAGGTTATTATTATTATTACTATTAGTTTCTGGTTTGAGAGAATTTGAGAGTTTTGATCGTAATCGTCTTCCAAATCGGAAAACACTGCCTCTCGCCATCGTTGTTCACGATTCTTTCATCCATTTTAAACGCCGTCGTTTTAGTTCAAAAATATTACTACCAAATTATACATATGCATTCAACTAAGCGTTACTGTTTTATTATTTTCCAACCAAACATTTATATTCACACTATATATATTGAATGGTGAGAAATTGTATTGGAGAATTCAAATTTCATAAAATTTATAAAAGGTTCATATAGATTGATAGATCTTACCTTACAAACTATATTTTGTATGAATGAATTAGGACAAATTCAAATTCTAATATGAAGAGGAGAAATCTCTTATCTAACCAACTCCATGCATGTTTAGTACCTCATACTAGCCAGTAGCCAACACATCAGCAGCAGCACCTGTGTATGTTTAGATGACCTTCTAACAAAAACAAATGCCCGATGGCAACGCATTTAAGACAAAAAATAATGAAAATAGAGAAATTTTAAATCAAAGCATTAGAAATACGCACTTAGATGAGCTGCCCACCCAAACATGTGATGCATAGAAAATATCTTATAGTGATGATAAATTAATATAAAAATGTAAAATATAATAATTAATTATATTTTAAATAAATTTAGTATAATATAGTAGTTAATCTTAAATATATTAGTAATTGAAGATAATTTTTTGTTTTCAAAAAAGGCCTAATAATTATGGTTAAGAGAATATTGGAGTGCAGAAGATCTCACTCCAAGATCTATTAAACGGATCTTCTTATTTCACGCTTGAAGATTAACAATCTGATATAATCGTCTTGTTATATAAACTTCATTTTAGCGTTGAAGTGTTAACCTTTCAGGTCAACTCATAAACTCATGTTCATTATTGTCATATCCTATATTTGTCCGTCCTTAGTGTTACCGTCAAATTTATTTTTGAACTTGGGTTTTAAAATTTCTTTGGTATAATATACATTAATATTTTGGGGGTTTGATGAAAAATATTCACTTTCAAGTTTGTTTAAAAATATAATGATTTATTTCAAGATCATTTGTATTTTTGAATAAATAAATATTTGTTTGACCTTTCATATATTTTCAATTGGGTTTATTTGCAAATAAATAACAAACACATTTAGTAAGGAAGTATAGATTGGAAGCATGCGGTTACAGTTTTGAATCTCACTAGGTGTATTTTTTTTATATTTCTTTGTTTGTTTTACTAATTTTATTTTCATTTATAAAAATCATAAAAAAACAATTATTTTATTATTTAAATATTATTTTCATATTTTTAAGTATGACATTTTTTAAAAAATAATTATTTATTTGATTTTATGCACTTTTTTATCAAAATTGAGTGCAAAAATCATAATTAATACAAAAAATATTTTCTTTTCGAGACAATTGTTTCTTATTGGTTAATCTGTGTTATTTTGTGTCATACTCAGCTTCTGATTGGTCAACTTGTTGACCAAAAAATATCTGATTTATTTTATTCTTTTTCGTCTTTTAACCTGATTTTGACAGTCTATAAATAGGGTCATATTTTAATAGTTTGGGACATCAACAAAAATCAAGAAAATCAAAAGATCAACAACTTCACACTTTTGTCTTGGTTTACTTCATGGTTTTTAAACAGAAACCCTAAAATCATGTTGTTGTCTATATCAGACAATAACCAACAAACGGTTGGTGATTTAATATGAGGTCTCCCGTTTGTTCTTAATTTTTTTATTGTTTTACCACAATATGAATATTTTCTTATTCATAATATTTTTTATTCATAATTTTCGTATTAATATTTTCTTATTCACTAACAAATTTTTTGGCAGTACATGCTACATACAATTGTATTTTTTAAACATTGAGGAAAACTATTTTTTGAAAATCTTGTTTTTTAGTCAAACTTTTTTCCAAACTCTTATCATATTTTCTAAGCAAGAATCATCTTCAAGCTTATCTATATCCGTCACTTTTACATTTATTCAAAAGTCGAAACAACAAAACTGTGAATAACATCAACAATTTGTAGTTTTTTTCAGGATTGGATGAAGATTGGAGCAACTTGAAATCGTCATAAATCCTGACGAAATTGACCCAACAACGCACATCACTGATCAATTACTCACTATCATCTTCATGTAACAAAGTCAAAGTTGCACTGAAAAATCCAGAGCATGTAACATGAAACGACATCGCAAACCATATTTCAAAATCCACACCATCTGCAAAACTAAGTTTTTACAAAATCACTAATTTTTATAGCAATTACACAAACTCTAATCTCAAAAGCAGAAAATCATATGACTATCTTGGATATTGCAAATGAGTCAGAAGACTTAGGAGAGAAGATAAGTTGACCAGGAAGGTGCTCAGGTCTCTTCCAAGGAAGTTTGACATGAAAGTTATTACTATCGAAGAATCTCGTGATATAAGCACCATGACCATGGATGAACTGGCAGGTACTCTTAAGACATTTGAATCAGCTATCAGTGAAAGGTCTAAGAAAAGAAAGAGTATAGTTTTTTCTTCTAGTACTGAAGACTCATAGGATTGTGATGAGTTGAACTTAGAAGGAGCATCTGAAGAACTTGTGTTACTAGGAAGAAATTTTAACAAGTTGCTGAGAAAGTCCAAATTAAATGTCAAGAGTATTTCCTTCGACATCAATAAAGACCAGGAAAATGGAGGAAGGTCCAAGTTAGATGAATGTCCAAGTCCAGATAAAGGAATTCAATACTATGAATGCGAAGGATTTGGACACATAAAATTTGAGTGTGCTACCTTCCTCAAGAAACAGAAGAAAGGTTTATCTATGTCATGGACAGAGGAAGGCTTTAAAGGTAATGGTGAAGCAGAAGTGAATGCCTTGACTGGAATTTATGGTTTTGATGAAGAGCTTACATTTGAAGGATTAGCTACTTCCTACAGTAAGTTATGTATCAAAAGCGAAAAGGTATGTCAACAAAGAGAAAAGCAAAAGATAACCATTGCTCAACTACAGGCTGAGAAAGTGAAGCATGTATCTATCATATCTGATCTTCAAGAAAACATTATATTGCTCAATTCAAAACTAGACAATATGACTAAAACCATGAGAACGTTGAATTATGGTTCTGATGTTCTGGATAAAATTCTTAAATTTGGAAGAAATGCTGGAGATGTTGGAGGTCTTGGTTATGACCGACTAGGGATGAACAACAAATAAATAATGTCTGAAGTGAATTTTGTACCTTCATCGAAGGAACGTAAAAAAAGGATGTCTGAGCATATGTCCCAATATCAACATAGACATCAAGTCGAGCATAAAGAAGGCAGAAATCAAAGATGAAGATGCTACTTTTGTGGTAGAATTGGTCATAAAAAACCCTACTGCTAAAAATTACATGGTTATCCCAAACCTAACTCGCAGCCTAGAAAAAGACAGATTCTAAACCTCACAAAGAAAAAATGGACTCCTAAAAGGGTTACATTTTGAGAATCAACACACACAAATTCAATTGGAGAAGCTTGGTACTTTGACAGTGGATGTTCAAGATATATGACAAGTATCAAGAAGTTTTTGGTGGAAATAAAACCATCTTCCTTGAAAATTATTGTTGTACCCCAAAATTTTCCCTCTCATATTTCTCAATACATTTCAAGAAAGATCCTCAAGTTGCTCAAGGAAGTCCAAGGGTTGACCAGACAAACTCTCTCTTAAGGCAGTCTACCTCAAATTAGGGTTTCATTTTGCATCAAGATACTTGAGGCCAAGGGATCCCAAATGCTCACCATTTACCTAATATGTACTCAAGATCATCCATGTCAATTTTAAAGCCTTACAGATGAAGTTTGCTCAGTCAATTGCTCAAAGGCCTGAAAATCGACTGTGCTAGGGTAAAAGTCAAATGTGGCCCACATACAGTCAAACTTCAAGATTTTTGGCCAACATCCTCATTTTGAAGTATTATTCATCATTTGATAAAAGTTTGATCATTATTCCTCAAGGATTGCTCACAATTCATCAAAACCCAAAAGTTGTTAAATTAGGGTTTTGCAGGAAAAGTCAACTCAACTTTGACCAAGCATAACTTTCTCATAATTTATGATAAATGATCCATCCAAAGCTCATTTTGAATAGTATTCAATTCTCAACAATTAATCTTCAGCTCCCAACTTCAAAATATGCACTCACAATAAGTTATGAATTTGGACATTATAGGTCATTTTGAAAAGTCAACAAAAACACCTTTTTTGTCAAAGCTTCATACATGAACATGGAAGACTCAATTGAGATGATACCAAAAGGGTTACTTAGAGGACATCTTTAGATTTCTAAAAAGTCCAAGAACACCTCCAAAGATTCAGAATTGAGGAAGTTATGCATTGGTGAAGTTGACCTTTTTTGTAAAATTGTCAAAAGTCAAAAGTGCCTCAAATTGCAATTTTTGTTAAATGGGCCTAACTTTTTGCACTTGTTTTGAGTTGGTAGAATGGTCCACGAGCCCTATATATTTCCACTTGTCTTTATCTTATTTTTACTATTTATTTTGATTTTTTATTCCAATTAAATCAATTTAAATCAAAACAAATCATGAAAAAATCCAAATCATTCAAACTTCAAGATCTTGTGCACATTTCAGGTCCCATATACAGCTAGCAAGTGAATCAATTCGTGCAAGGCATAGGTGGGCAAGAAAATATTGATTTTGGCCTATTTTGGAAGGAATTTTATGGAAATCAAATCAAGATCACAAATCATAATTGGAAAAGATTGAGATCATATTTGTAAACCTAATTCACCCCTTGGTATATAGTGAACAATTGCAGCCAGAAACAACAAGGTTTGGAGGCGCACAAAGGTAGAACAAAACTTGAAAAAACTCAAAGAAAGTGGTGATCTGATTTTGTACTTCCAGGCAGTTTCAAGACTCCCGAGCCATTCCTTTCGTTTCCTGGGCACTCAAGGAAGCCAAAGCAATCAAAAGCAAGCATTTTCCTGCGTTGAAACTCACTGTAAGTGGTTTACGACCATGGCTTCTTCTTGAAATCGAATCACATGATTTTGGCA